GTGGTGGCGAAGATACTCAGTCGCTCCGGTGACTGGCCGAGTCCGAGATCAACAATAAATACGGGCGACGCGCAAGGCGGCGCGGTGTCTAGTAGGCGCCGTGACCCTCGTAGGCCTCGTCGGCGTCCTCGGACACGGCCGCCGCCCCCGCGTGCGCGTACGCGTCCTCGCCGTGGTCGGCGCCGTCGGTGAGGGAGGCGCGGTGGTAGGAGGTCTCGCCCAGGCCGCCGCCGTACGCCTCGTGCCCGAGCTCGTGACCCTGGTCCTCGTGGAGGGACAGCGCCAGGTGGCCGTGGCCGCCCAGGTCGCCGTGGTCGTCATGAGACACGTGGTGGATCGGCTCTGGAAGCAAAGAGAGGAAGCCGTCAGGTCAGGACGCCGCCCGGAGACCTCAACGCAGGGCGCGGCGCACGGGCACAGGCACAGCCCGTACTATGTACCACTCACCGTGCTTCTTGTACACGGGCACGGGGTGGTAGCTCTCCAGGTTGAAGTTCTGGTACGAGGTGGCGTGGCCGTGGTGGCCGTGGCCGTGCTCCTCCAGCTCTACGTGGCCGCGCTTGACGCGCACGGGTAGGGCGGCCGCCACCGCCAGGACCACGGCGAGAGACACCTGAGGGCAGAACAACAACAGGACGGTCAGTCGGGGAGGCGCACAGGGTTGGGGACAACATGGCGTGCGGGTAGCGCACGCACGCACGCACGCACGCACGCACGCACGCACGCACGCACGCACGCACGGAGAACTGTACCGGCTGCGGGTGCAGTGAGTGCACACCAGGGCGCGCCACCAGCCAGCCGCGAGGCGGAGGCTCGCGGGCCGCGGGGTATCGCCGCCTGCTGGACCACTCCACCGCCGCCGCGGGCGCCGCGGGCCGGGCCGCGGCCGCCAACGCCGCTGACCGCCGCGGAGAAACGCAGTTATCTCTGAGAAACGACTCTCGAAATGAGGCGGGCAGACCTCCTCCTCGCTTTGAGCCGCGCCGCGCTGTTTGTTGTTATACAGGTTGCTCAATCCTTCGCGCTCCTGGACTTGTGTCCAGCAGCCAGCACACGGCCCGCCCAATCGGGACTACTCGTTGCCTCACCCGCACCAACGGCGACGACGACGGACTGGAATTGCCGCCCGGAACAACAACAATGATAATAACGACGACGACCGGTGGCAGCGGCGCCCTCTAATGAAGAAAGAAAGAAGAAAATGGAGCAATGGCAATGATGACTGGGGCGATGGCGATGCGATAGGAGCCTGTTCTCGGAGCTGGCGCGCGTGTCGAAGATGAAGACATGAGCCCCGCCACACACTGACGCGGAACTGCTTGTTACAGTTCTCTGACCCCGCCCCGCCCCGCCCCGCCCCGGCTTGCTCCACCGGGAAGTGTCCGATCCCATGTGTGGAGGTGTCAACCAGGAGAGGGTCTTTATGTGTGAGGGAATAAAAAGTACGCGAAAGCGAGGGCGAAGCAAAGCGGGCGAGTGAGTAAAGGAATGGAATATGTACCGAGGAGGGGAGCGCGCGAGGGGGCGGGGGGGCGTCACGGAGCATTCTCGAGTCTCTCATTCACCAGGGAGCAAGGAGAGCTGAATTTTTCATGCGGGCCCTTACATCCACGCAACGTGTCGCCTCTGGTTTGTATAAACAGAAGATAAAAGTATACATTCTACCCGGGACTTAGCTCGCAACTAGCAGCTAGCGAGGCTCCCTCGGTTGGGGGAAGAGGGTGGAGGGGTCATCCGAGTGGGAAGAAAATGAATGAAGACAAGACAGCGACACACGGTCATATAGTTTGTGGTAACAGACATTTTTATTTTATTGGTTGGAAGTCGAGTTTTAACGCGCCGCGCGAAAAACTACACTTAAGAATTAAGCAACACGCAACAAAATTCGTTTTATAA